TGTATATCTCTTCTTGTTTCTTTTCTTTTCTTTTTCCTCCAACAACTGCTGTAATTTCTCTTCTTGTTTATTTTCTTTCTCCTCTAACCACTGCTGTAATCTCTCTTGTTTATTTTCTTGTTCGAGCTGCCACTGTTGCAGGTTTTATTGCCACTGCTGTTGTCTCTCTTCTTGTTTCTTTTCTCGTTCTTCTTGTTTCTTTTCTTTTTCCTCCAACAACTGTTGTAATCTCTCTTCTTGTTTATTTTGCTGTTCGAGGTGCCACTGTTGCAAGTTTTCTTGCAAATGCTGTAATCTCTCTATTTGTTTCTTTTGTCGTTCTTCTTGTTTCTTTTGCTGTTCTTGTATTGCTGCCATCAAATCTGCTAAGCTGTAGTTTGATTTGCCGCTTCTCGTTTCCATTTTTTTCTTTTCCGTCCCACTCTCTGACACCAATTTGTTAAGCCTCCGTTCGTTAGTTAATTTTCCGTAAAAATTCTTCCCGGAGAAACTTTACCTATACAAGTCCTTTCTTAAATAAAACTGGTTTATTCTTTCTGAATATAACTTTACGATACACTTAATTTCAACAGTCGCGCTATAACAAACGCTATAATTCACAACGAACGTCTCACGTGCTCGACTCAACAATACTCTGTCCACAGGTCAATTACACATTGTTCCCATCGCTTCTTGGCTGGTCTTATGTATACAAGACTACCCCATATCTAATAGTCTCCCGACGTTTCATGAACGTTCTAGAAGCGCGTGGCGTGTTACTAGCGTCACGTGACCTCCGCTGTCCTAACAATATTAATATCGATTCGTCAGTCTTTGTATGTGCTGAACAATCAACCTGAGAGAAACATATTGGTACGACAGGGGAAGTCACGCGACGATAGGAGCATGCACGCTGGAGTTTCTCGGAGGATCCTGAATTATCGAGGAACCCCGTGAATGTCCGTGTGTTTGCCAGGCGCCCTCTTTTTTAGTATATAAGCACGGCAAATAAAGTCAGCAATAGAAAGATATGCAGATAGATCGAAGAGATAGATTGAAGAGATATATAATTGAGTCAAGCGAACAGTAGGCACCGTAAATAAAGTGTGTGAATCACTGTGATTTATAGCGTGTGTTATAAAAGGTGTTAAGTGTATTACAAAGTTTATATCGAGAAAGAACAAACTAGTTTTAATCAAGAAAGGACTTGTATCGCTGAAGTTTCTTGGAACGAATTTCTACGGGAAATTAACAAACAAGCAGATACTAACAATATTAAGAACAAAAATGTTTTGTTTTTGTGAAGAAATTTCACGAAAAAAGCTATACTTCCTCCATCAAGTGGTTGATATCCATATTTCAAAGAAATAAACCTGAATACAAGAAAAAAAATGCATTATGAGAAGAACGTGTTTGAGTATTATTTGTTGTTGCTCAGTTTTTTGTTTTTTTCATGTCAATATTATATTCCTGCATGATTTTGTTGTATCATGTTGAATAAATTGATCTGATTTGAATTGAATATCTCCCCTTTTACACTTTTATAGAAATGACAACTTTCAAAAACCACTCATTTCAATAAAATGAGAAGGAATGGTGGCATCCAAAAAAAAAAACAGTCCCCACAGCTATTTAGCAAATCTGAGCACTCTATTTTGCTGGATGCACCCAAATGCAATGCTTTTTGATTAAATAACACATGGAATGACACAAGGCAGTTGTAAACAGACCACTAGACAATCATATTGCATATACACTTTGATCCAAGGGATTGAGCCGACTGCACATTTCATATCTATTCAGCACTATATTTAGGCATATTACCATTTAATTGCTTCAAGAGGCATATGCTAATAGATCTATAATGATTTCATCACCTCCTTTGAAAAGAAGAATAACGTTATGCAACTTCAAATCTTCTAGCGCTTGCTCACTATTCAGGGACTTAGAAAAAATAATATCAAGTGGCCCACATATCCAATCCTTAACTATTTTTCAAAATCATAGGGTAAATATTATCTGGCAGTCAGATGGTGCTTTATCATTCTTTAAACTTCCCAATTTTTCCTTAAGAAGGTCAAACTTAATGTGATTAGCTTGTTCTACCTTGTTTCCATCTAACAACTGTTCGGGTTAAGGAATATTGCTTAAACCTTCATTAGTAAAAATCTGAAGAATAGATACAATTTAATAACACAGCCATCGCATAGTCATCATCTTCTGGTATCATCCCTCAAAGACGCTACTCCCGTCCTAACATTTTGCTTACCCTTAATGTAATTGAAGAAATCCTTACTATTTAGTTTTACATTTTCATCCAAACTTTTTTCATATATTTTTTTATTTCATAATTTCCCATTTGACCAACTCTCTTAATCTTCTATAAGCCTCCAAATCTTCATCATTGCAGTGAATTTAAACTTCTTATATTCATATACTCACTGAATACCCATTGAATTTTCATACACTGATCATTCCTATTTATAACAAGCTTTGTCCAGATTATGAGCTTAAAAAAATGTGGGGGTGGATGTTATGATAAATAACAAAAAATTCCTAAATTTCACACAATTTATTTATAACCTAACATATTATTACAGTATTCATTATTACCTCACCAAAGGTTTTGTATAAACTTTAAAAACTTATTATGTATATGTTTAAAACATGGTATACATTGTGCGATGGCTAGGATGACTTTGTAGGAAGAGGTAGCGGCCAAATTTGGTAATGGCTTTCAATATCCAGCTCTTAATGTTCTTCCATAGTGTTTCACGTTATAAATTCATTGACGGTCATTGGCCGCAGACGTGTCTTACAGGCCGATTTGAAAGGTCACGGGTCAAAGTATAAAGTGAGTATAACTCAAGAAACGGCTCCACATATCAGCCTTATGATGGCTGTTAGAGTAAAAACTT